ATCTTATTGTAACATAAAGACTGATAATATTGTTAGGTAGTATGGAAAAGTATTCCCATCGTTTTTCTCTCATGAGCAGAAGGAGCGCTGTAATTGCAGAATTTTTATAACTTAAGATATACCAAATTATTAAGTTAAAAGAAAAGTTTTAATATATCTGTAACCATGACACAGCTAAGTAACAATAAGTAGAAAAAAAAGTGGGGAACTTTTGGGGCGAACTACTTAAGGATAAAAAAAACACAAACTTTTTTCAGAAATCAGCAAAATTTCTGTTAGATTTATATTCAAGTAACCTGAATAATGTTTACCAGGTAAAGTGCGAGAATTCGAACTTTGTAAGATTTTGTTACAATGTCAAAAATATATGCAAATTTTGTATAGAATTATATAGGAAACAAAATAAAGTCGCATATTTAAGCACCAAAGAAAACTTACGATTTCTTTATATATTAGGGATTTATTATATATGTCATTTCTATTCAAAAATCAGTCAAAAAATATATATCAATCCAGACATCAAATTTTTGTTTGCGTTATGCATCCTTAAGCGTATTTGTAGAATTAAGAATTAAAATTCTTAATTAAGGCTGAGTCTAACTATACCTATTTCTGTGTTTACGATCAGAGAAAATTTCTTTCAAATATTGATTAGAGTTTATCTATGACTTAATTTGAATAAAGTACGGTATAGTAGAGAGAGGTTCTGATTATATATACCCGTAAAACATACATAAACTAGAGGCCCATAGACCACAATGCCCATCCGAGTCAACTCTTTCTGTAAATTAATGTAAATAGATGAAAACCTTATTCAATTTAAATTCCATGATTCAACAAGATTAATCTATAAAATATTGAGACTTTAAGTCAACAAAATTTGATTGTAGACTTTTTATTCTTGCAGAATATCACATGTTTCGGTGGAAAACTGTGGCCGCAACTTAGCTTTGGGGATCATTATTCGAACAAGTTTAAATCTTCACTACATGCGATAATTATAAATTGTAACCCTTCTCATGTTTTATAGGACGATTTTCAAAGATATTTTGTACATGTACTATGCATGTCATATCCTAATATGGCTTCATCCTGGTCCTAGGCGTCATGGTGTGAAAACAAACTGAATCAAAATTATACACTTGCACATTAAAATGACTAAGTATATAAGATTTTTAACGATTTTTCCGATACATTTCCCTGTGAAATCTTTAATCTTATTATGGCCCCATCCTAATCCCCAAGGGACAGGAATTAAACAAGATTAAATCTGTATTACGGTCCTATTTCTCAAATAAGAACTCGGGGATCTTGCATCTTGTCAAACGAGTCTAGTTCAGACCGTTGAGTCTAGTACATGTACAGTACTTTTTGTCAAAGTCATTTTAAAATCTCGCGTCAAGAATGTGGATTTGCTATCAATTACTCTGATATTGACCAAATTGGCCCTGGTTTGATAATAACACGTCCTTTGTATACATTTTAAAGCTAACATTAGTATGTGTATGTCAGATAAAAGCTTCCCTGTTCTAAATCGTGAAGGTCTCAAAAAGAAATTCCCTACCAATATAAACCTGATCACAAACAACCAGAGCACATAATATAAAATCTTCATCTTCATAAAACAAATATAAAATCTTTGTTACAAAGTTATGAGCTAAACAGATAGAAGCAAGACACTAGGCATTGCTCCATCCAAGTGAAAAAGTGAAAGCTCAGATTGGCGTCTAACTTCCTTCACTGCTTAATCTAATAAAGCATTTTATATGTCTAGATGGCTAACAAGACTGTCATTTTCCGCATCTAAAAAAATATAATTTAGGTAATTGAAATCTCCAATACTTTTAATTAAATGGGAATTGAATAAGCTTATCTTCAAAGTATCCAGTGTCACTGAACGTTTTGATAGAATAAATTCGTTAATCTGAAGGATTTTATTTTCTTAACTAGTTTATTTTCAGATTGATTATAGTTGGTTATTGTTCCAGAGATTGGGCGTCCTTAGAAACATGTGAATGTGGATATCGATTTCACAAGCTTGAAGGAAACATTAATAAAAGTTCATTAGAATCTACACATAGTACATGCATCATTAAATCCAAGTAATTAAACATCAAAGATAAGGAACAATGGAAAACCATACATACTATATTAAGTGGAGCTTTTTGATGCACAGTAACAACAATGTTTATATTGTCTAGAAGTACTATTTACAGTATTTGGTACTACTAAGAATCCATTCTCATGTCCACAATACTTGATGCTTCTATATGGATAAGTTTATACAGGGTTATTCTCGCCCTCTCACATTTGAAAATAATTTTGTCCCATTTTAAATTCGCCCAGTCATAGTTCTGTTTAAGACGTTATACTGTTTTCTTTAAATTCGCCCAATTGAAAGTAGGGCGAAAGGGGCGAAAATAAAACGGGACGAGAATTTCCCTGTATACAGTATATTATTCAGTAGAGCTTCTAACCCTCAGCGTTACAATCGCTACATACAGTATGAAGTTGTTTGTGAAGAGTATTTTGCTTACTAGTATTTGATAAACTTTAAACATAAAGTGTCGTCAGGATATTCTATGTCGATTCAATTGATTAACTTGTTAACTTGAGTCACTAATGTGACCTGCTGCCATTATATTCAAGTATTGTGTCCTGTGTTGTTGTTGTTGTTGTTTTTTTTTTTTTTGAACATTTAATTTTTCTCTGAAATGCTGAACTAGTAACAAGCAATTTTGGTACATGGTGTTGGTTAAAAAGTTGTGATTTTTTTTAAGGTTTCTGTCCCCCGAAGAAGTTGGTGTGGGATTAAAACGCTAGAAGCTCAAGGCAATCTTCCTAAATTTTCTTCTATACTCGTAAAAGGAAACACACCATGTGCATGATTATAATGAAAAATGTTACCTTTACAATCATTAAATATTCAAGTCCCCTTGACCTGTAGTTGAGACCCCCGTTTCAAATATGACAGAAGTCATCTTACATACAAAAACTTTGTTTCATCAAATATTTCTTATTTTACTCTGGACATCTAGCTAAAGAAAGGTGAATAATGACCATATTGATTCTAATTATGAAATTCAATTTCAGTGTACAGGGTAATAACAATAAGAAAAGAAGTCTCCTATCACATTTTTTTTAATTTCAGGTCCCAGGGAGTCAGGATAGTTCAAGTGTGCAGTGTTAAAAATGTTTAAAAGAAATATTATAATAATAAACCAGTTCTAAATGCAGACAAATTATTTGCATAGCGGGTCATTCTATAAGAATGCATTTTGTTAAAGTGAAACATGGACACACACGAAACAAAAATGCTTTTCCTAATCTCTACGTGTCACACAATTCAAAGACAATTGACAGGGAGAAAAAAATCAAGCGAAAAAAACCCTGGCCTGCTCTAACCGGGCTTCTAAAAGGATTTATATGTGAGTAAGAAGGGGATAATGATGCAGCATTTGAGGTGCTGAATAGTATGATATTAAAAGAAGATATACTCAAAATATTGCAAGCAAAGGATCGTGTATACAAGAGAAACTCAAAAAAAAGAAACTCAAAGGATAAGAGAAACTAAAAAGATCGTGTGCTTAAGAGAAACTCAAAAGATCGTGTGGATTAGATAAACTCAAGTAAAGGATCGTGCACATAAGAGAAACTCAAGTAAACGATCGTGTACATAAGAGAAACTCAAGTAAACGATCGTGTACATAAGAGACACTCAAGTAAAGGATTGTGTACATAAGAGACACTCAAGTAAAGGATCGTGTACATAAGAGACACTCAAGTAAAGGGTCGTGTACATAAGAGAAACTCAAGTAAAGGGTCGTGTACATAAGAGACACTCAAGTAAACGATCGTGTACATAAGAGACACTCAAGTAAACAATCGTGTACATAAGAGACACTCAAGTAAAGGGTCGTGTACATAAGAGAAACTCAAGTAAAGGATTGTGTACATCAGAGACACTCAAGTAAACGATCGTGTACATAAGAGACACTGAAGTAAAGGGTCGTGTACATAAGAGAAACTCAAGTAAACGATCATGTACATAAGAGACACTCAAGTAAAGGGTCGTGTACATAAGAGAAATTCAAGTAAAGGATTGTGTACATAAGAGAAACTCAAGTAAACGATCGTGTACATAAGAGAAACTCAAGTAAAGGATCGTGTACATAAGAGAAACTCAAGTAAACGATCGTGTACATAAGAGACACTCAAGTAAACGATGGTGTACATAAGAGAAACTCAAGTAAAGGATCGTATACATAAGAGACACTCAAGTAAAGGATCGTGTACATAAGAGAAACTCAAGTAAACGATCGTGTACATAAGAGAAACTCAAGTAAAGGATCGTGTACATAAGAGACACTCAAGTAAAGGATTGTGTACATAAGAGACACTCAAGTAAACGATGGTGTACATAAGAGAAACTCGAGTAAAGGATCGTGTACATAAGAGACATTCAAGTAAAGGATCGTGTACATAAGAGAAACTCAAGTAAACGATCGTGTACATAAGAGACACTCAAGTAAACGATCGTGTACATAAGAGAAACTCGAGTAAAGGATCGTGTACATAAGAGAAACTCAAGTAAAGGATCGTGTACATAAGAGACACTCGAGTAAAGGATCGTGTACATAAGAGAAACTCAAGTAAAGGATCGTGTACATAAGAGACACTCGAGTAAAGGATCGTGTACATAAGAGACACTCAAGTAAAGGATCGTGTACATAAGAGAAACTAAAGTAAACGATCGTGTACATAAGAGAAACTCAAGTAAAGGGTCGTGTACATAAGAGACACTCAAGTAAAGGATCGTGTACATAAGAGAAATTCAAGTAAAGGATCGTGTACATAAGAGACACTCAAGTAAACGATGGTGTACATAAGAGAAACTCAAATAAAGGTTCGTTTACATGAGAGAAACTTAAGTCTTATTCAACCTTTTATAGTTGCAATATTGGTGACAAGAATACATATTATATGTAAAATATGGACAGATACATGTTTCAAAGATGTGTCGAAACTTTCAAAAGGCCCTGTGCTTCAGACAAGTTCCCATTACTTTTGTCCATTTCAACTCTTGCAGTATATGTGTTTGGTGTTTTTGTTTGGTTTGTTGAACCAAAGCAGCACATATCTTTTAAAGTTTGCTTGAATTCAGAACTCATGCTGCAAAACAAGAGAAAGTTCAGGGGGTAGGAGAAAATGATGAGAAGGTTGACTATTCTTTCAGAAATTTGCAAATCATGTAGGTCATATGTGGCACCTGAGAGATATATGTCCACATAGAGGCACTGAATAATCCCGACCGGAAGTTCTACCAACAGAGTAATGGCAGCCATGCACACAATCATGATGGTTACGCGTCTGTTTTCTTTCACAGTACTGCTGCTGTTTTCAGAGTTGCCGTTCAATTCGATCTTTTTGTTGGTTATGTTTCGTAGGCCACAAATCATTTTAGCATTCAGAATAATGAGTGATATACAAGGCACAAACTGGATAAGGATAATGCGTATGAATAAATAAGAGATCAAGTAGGCGTTGACATCAATGTACTCACTGAAATTAAAGACACAGATTCTCCCGGAGAACTGAACCTTCGAGACAATGAATTGGCTCAAATGTACAAGAACAGCAAGAACATAAGTTGATATTATCACTATTGTTGTATTACGAAGAGTGCAAACTTTTCTTGCCGTGAACGGATGACAAACGTACATATACCGCTGGGTGGCCAATAGGAGAGTCAACCATATAGAAGCCGTGTGTGTTATGGTTGGCATAAACAAAGAAATCCAATTCTTCATTGAAATAAACTCACATGGAATTTGGTATTGAAGACCATATTCAACAAAATAAAACGGTGCTGGAAATAACATGGTGAGTGAGTCAGAGACTGCCACGCCCACCAGCCCGGCCTGACTCGCTCCATACGTCTTCTGTCGCTTAAACACCGCGATGACAACAGTGTTGGTAATAAGAATTATTACAGCTAAGGAAGGTATTACAAATCCATTAATGACCCTGACAGATTCTGGATTTGTCGTGATATACTCATCACTATTGTTTACATTTACTGTAAAATTGTGGTTTAAAGATTCCATTGACGTGACGTTGTGATAGAAAATGTCTGTTGTCCGTTTGTTTTCCTCCATCACTGACATATATATATTTTTCGTGAAGTAAATCTTTTTGCTTTGTTCTGTCACATATCTGAAAAGTAAAAGGATAAACTTTCGTCAAACATGTTGTTATGACAACAGTTAATAAACGATTTATTCTTTCTTCCCCAGATGGTTGCTCAATGTGACCCGTGGTGTTAATTCAACGCCAAGAAATACGAAGCAAGTGTGAATCAGACCTAGATTCCCGTCTCCAGCTTTGATTCATTGCAACCTCATCTCATGACGTATTATTTGTTGTTTTTTTTTTTTATCTAAGTGAAATGAATGAGCTTTTAAAAACTTTCGTTTTTTTTGTTTGTTTGTTTGTTGTTTTTTTTTTTTTTTTTTTTGTTTTGTTTTGTTTTGTTTTTTTTTTGTTTAAAAATATTGTGTTAATCTTTTTCATGTATGTGTATTCGAAATCATGGGAAGTATTAATATATTTGCGCCATCTTCTATCGATATAAGCTATATATATTGATTACATATTAAGAACCACTTACATTTGAACTAACGCTTTTATATTTTCATCAAAATCCTTAATTGTTTTCAAACCCCCTCCCTTTTGCAAACATACAAAACAAGAGGCCCATGGGCCACACCACTCACCTGAGATTTTGCCTTCGGCTAGAAAAAAACCCAGAAATCAGATAAGTTTCAGTATTGGAAAGTTAAAATATATAAGTTGTCCCACCCTTCCCCTTAGGTTATGATTTGCACAAACTTGAATATACACTACCCCAGGTTCCTTCCATATTTATATGAATAATCATGGCTTTGCTGTACTTAGGAAGAGGGTTTTTATGATTTGATCTTATATTTATATTCTATTGTAGTCCGCCCTACCCCCGAGGATCAAAATTTAAACAAACTTGAATCTACACAACCTGAGGATGCTTCTTTAGTAATATGACTTATCATAGCTTTGCTATTCTTAAGGTTCATTGATACTCTGATAAGGGAGATACTCTTATTGACATTTATGTCTATTATTCCTTTATAAATTTGTGAAGTTGAAATGTCTTTTGTCCAATTTTGCACCGCAAGCTATGATATAAATGTTTGTATTTTACCTATAAAACACACTTCTTTTGGGGGAAAAAAACCCATTACAGTTGAGGCAATATTTTACATGAGTGAGCAGAGGGTTTATGAACCGTAAGAAGAAGATTTAAAAAAAAAAAAAACTATATATATTTCTATGTTAAACTTTGATCTTCTATTGTGGCCCCATCCTACCCCTGGGGGTCATGATTTGATCAAACTTGAATCAATTTAATTAAAATTACAGGTTCCGAATCCGCTACCGCTTCTCAAACATCTAACAACATCTCATTAGGGGGTCACGTCAGAGCGACCTTTCGATTACCCAATGAAATCGCCGTCTCCGAAATCTTGGCTTATAGTTCGGATGCGTTTCTTTTTTTTAATGCCAAACCTAAACGCCCGAGGGGTTTCGTACTAAACAAAATATGCATGGTAAAGACCGTGCAATATATGAATGTGACGTGCGGGATATATAGTAGTTTGTGCATTTTCGTTTGCGTTATTCATGTAAGAATGCCAGATTGGCGGACTATACGTTCAATTTATACCAAAATTACTTTAATTCATCGTAAGACAGTCCACTGAGCATCAATAATGTACAGATGTAGCCGTGGAACTAATTTTAGAATCGTAAACAGAAGGTTGAATCTGACTGGCCAATTTTTTTTAATGTTTATTCATAATCGAAAGGTCGCTCTGACGTGACCCCTAATGGGATGCTGTTGGATGTTTGAGAAGCGGTAGCGGATTCGGAACATCTAATTTTAATTAGATTGAAACTTGAATCTACACTACCTGATAATGCTTCTGTAATAATATGACTAATCACGACTTTGCTGCTGTTCTTGAGAAGAACATTTTAATTTAATTCTTAATTATCTCCCCTTGACAGAATGCGTTCCCATTCATGTGAAGAAATTTGAATCCCTTTTACCCTATGATGCTTTGTGGCAAGATTAGTTGAAAATGGCCCAGTGGTTCTTGAGAAAAAGTCCAAAATGTGAAAAGTTTACAGACAACACACGATCGACAGATAAACAGACGCCTTTGACTCAGGTGAGCTAAAAATGAGGATGATAATAAGCTTTTACGTCGACTTCAAATCAGATAATTTTTCAATACATGTGATGCTGAGGAAGGAAATAGTTAATATATCTTAAACTGTAACCCCCAGCCCTGTTTTACCAAAAATCTGGCATATAACAAGTAAAAATCTCGGGGAATTTCGAGAAATGATTTAGGTGGCACGCCTATTTTTCCGATTTCATCTCTTTTCCATTTTCGGGTTGGGGGGGGGGGGGGATTGGCAAAAATTTGTCTAAGGTACAGCAATACAATCCATCATTAATACATATAAAGGTGTGTGATTTATAAATGTCATAAGATAAAAGCTACACTTAAATATGCTTTCAGTTTAAAGCAATCATAGAATAAAATTTCGGGATTAAAATGATTTTAAGCTCTAGACCATTTGGGAGACTGCCTTGTTTGCTTTTTCTCAAGCATTTATATCTCCTAAGTAACTTACGAAGCAATTAACATAGACTCCCCATCTCCAGCTAAAACAACTGTTTTATTTCAAAACCGGTTGTTTTTTCTTCTGGAGGACACCGTTTTTAGGGTTTGTCGCGATATCATGTGCATTTTGTATTTTAAATACTGATGGAGGGCAATATTTACAGATTTTTATTTTATGAAGAATTTAGGTATAAGACATGTATCATTAGATAAATAGGGTAATCCTTTGGTATTTAATAAATTCATAATCTACACTGTACATAATTAAGCGAAAAAAAAAATAAAACAAAATTCAAATTTTCTGTGATCGAACCTCTGTTTAGGTGTTTATTGCAAACAATGGCTTAAAACACTAAGATACCCGGATTGACACTATAATTGAACATTACAACAAATAGGAAATCTCCTTACCTCTGCAATTTTGAAGTACATTATGTACTTCGATTCGAAAAAAAAAATTGTGTTATTTTTGTTTAATTTTTCATTTACCCCTATTCCCTTTATTAATAATTAACGCCAGTCTACTAATCCTGTTAATTTTGTTGTTCATTAATTATTTTTGGTAACATGGCAACTTTCTACGGGATTAACTTTGAAGCTACTTATTCTGTTAAAGTACACAACTAATACATTTGAATATATATATTCACTCAGGTCATTGTATTGTTACCTTGACTTCTTGTATAGAGAGGGTATTTATAGGCATTATGCCTGTTGCCCAATTTATTCAGTATTCTGAATAAATATTGTTTAAATCAACACTTCAATTTGAATTGTACAATATACAGAAAAAAGTAATTGTTAATGATGAAAATTCTTCAATGTCTCAGGTAGGTAATTTCTCTTAGGAAACAAGAAATGGCTATCTTGTAAATCATTCTTATTAGAGGAGTAAAGAGAGAGAGTAAAAACAGTTCCAAATAACAATTACAGAAAACATACAATAAAACAAAATGTACTTTTGAAATGAAAAAAAGAACATGCCTTATAAATTTGAAATGAAAGCTAGTCTTTTCTCTAAGGGGGCTCTCTACATCGTCACAACATGGCGTACTTCTGTTTGAAACGCCATTTTGGTCCGAAATGATCAGATTCTGTCCTGAACAAATTCACAAAACACCGATAAATCACCTGGTATACCAAATCATGCGAGACGTATGCTCTATTGTGAGGGTGACCAAGGTACGCTTTCTTCAGGCATGGAATTTTTGTCAATAAATTCGAACGATTTTATTCACAGACAATATATGCACAAACTTCTAAAGCTAAAATATGACAATAAGTAATTTCTAAAAAATGATAAAAGACCAAAGCTTCTTTGTACAATATTTGATCATTATGTTTCAAACCTCCTCCTCAAATGTTTTCATAAAGTCCTATAGGAAATTTATGCTTAGAACTTTCGAATGCATATGCTTCCAGCGAAATATAATATATAAGGAATAACCAGCACCTTCCCATCGCTTAGAGGATATACCCTGTTTACAACAGAGTATACACCCCGCACGGTGAAATTGGAACTCTTCATGAATGTAATCACCAAAACGTTTAGATAATATGCTGTATTAACTCGAACGTTTGACCAACATTGGTTATCAGCTGTTTTATATGGAAAACGTAAAGATTTGAACCGAAGTAGGAATTTCGTTATACGAACTCCTTCTACCCGCTTTTGACCATTTACTTGTCGTATCATCTGTAGCACAGGATAAAACATACAAGCTGGATGAAAACGGTACGTAGATCTTCCTCTATCAATACATTGAATTCACATATGTCTTTGAAAAACGCATAAATTCATTTGAAAAGCAATACAGTATGAACTTTCTCCGTGTACTTATCTGGCATACACGGTCATCCATGTCCTTATTAATTCTTTCTTCAATGCTTGTGTATGTTAATATGATATTAGTTTTAATATATATATATATATATATATATATATATATATATATATATATATATATATATATATATATATATATATATATATATATATATATATATATATAAAATCATTCCCAAGATATTTTCCACCAGGATTTTTGTGATGTTTAAATTTTTTGTTAGTTTTTTCAATTTCATTTAATTCCTTTTTTTCTCATCATTTTAACACTTTCATACTATTTTCAGATTTTGTAGGAAATCCATCCAGCTCTTCTCATAAAAAAAAAACCGTTTTAGTGTTTCTTCTGTCTTTTTTATTCAAATAAAAATCATGTATATTTCAATTATGAATTTATTAGTTTTTGTTTCAAGTTTTCATAACATTGAGCTTTTAAAAATATAAAATAAGGGGTTTTTACAAAATTAATCAAATATTTTAAATTTTTACTTAAAAAATTAGTCAAATACTTTGGAGCATTATTTCATTGGATATTTGGCACGTTATTAGAAACAAAGTAATGCAACAAAAATCATTTACACGTTATAGGTGTAGGGATCCATGTCCGTGTCTGTTTGGGAAGTATCACA